CTTGAGAGATGGTAATCAGATAATTGATGGCTTTGCATCGCATCCCATGCAAAACGATGATTGCGGTAATGTACAAGGACTGGGAAGTTCTTCATGAATCGACCATTAGGAAAGATGTACGTAATCCGAAATAGGTAAGGCAGGCCCCCTTATTTATTTGATCTTATTATTGCTATAACCTGATCCATGGAAGAACTGTTGCCTGTCCCTTTTAACCAATCAATCCATGTACCTAATCAGCAGAGCAGCAGTACCAAATCAGTAGAGGAGAGTATGAGACGGAGGGAAGCAATAATACTGGACTGGAGAGGAGTGAGGTGGGGAGGCGGGAATCACCTCACCGACAGGATGGATGGAGCCGAGGAGCTGCGGCCGTGCCGGAGACTGGCTGACCTCGCACATAATGCATACAAAGGACGCTTGCATATCAATACTATACAAGGTACCATCAAACTCTTTGAACGAAATCTGTGTTAAATTGTTGTCCAGAACATATCAGTGAGCGGGTACATTAGGATTGAGGAATTAATAGGGGAGACAGGTAGCAGATCTGCCAAAAAAATTTGCAACATCAATGAGTCCTAAGTCATCTGCTTATCATTCAGAGGAAGGAGGAATAGGGAAAAGGGTTCACCTCGTCGCCTCCGCTGGTGAGGCGTGGTTGACGTCTCCGGCCCTTTGGCCAGGACACAATCATCCTGCATCCTAAAGATGAGCAACGAAGGGTGAGGAAACAGGCCAAGGATGCAAAAAAAAAAAAAAAAGAGGGAGACGGCAGTACCTGGATGCGCTCCCACCGGAGGCCTCGCGCGCGCCGCTAGGGTTTGGCCGCGCGCGGGTCTGCTGTCGTAGCGCGCCACAGCGTCGGGTCCCCAGAGCCGTGAAGAGGCAGGGGTGGAGCGCGCGGCGCCAGGAAAGGCGGACCGCGTCACGAGTCGGAGCGGCGAGGGCGGAGCAGCGATTTCGGGGAGGGGGCGCGGGCGACGTCCGGCAGCGCGGCCTCGCCGGTGGCGGCGCCGAAGGCAGGGGCGGCGTTCCGCGGGGTGGGAGCGACTAGATGATAGTCCTGATACACATGACCGGCCTCTAAGGTGCTATGGGCCGAAAGTGCGACTGAGGGATATGGGCCGGCTTGTTGATTTCCCAGAGTCGCGTCGCTTCTGGGATGCTGCTATTGACATCCCATCCCAGCTTCTCCCAGAACTCTAAGGTGATCCCCAGTCTCCGGAGAGCGACTATACATCCGATCTAATGAAAACCCTTCACGAGCAGTTATGAACCTAGGATTTGAAACCAGGATATGCCTAACAAAAAAAAGGTAATATGAAATATTGTATAATCTGTGGAATAAAATTTAGTGAACGGATCGATAACGACAACCTAGTACAATGAAGCTTTGTACTGACGGTCCTAAACCCATTTTCACTGGTGTTTCTAGCTTCCACCACTGTGAAAAGCCAGTGAAAATCGTGAAGTTCAATGGAGTCTTCTAAAGAACCGCTAGTGTAAATGGGTTTACACAGACGGTTCACTTAAGACCACCACCAATGAAATCCATTTGTACTGGCGGTTCAGTTAGTGTAAATACACTTACACAGGCGGTTACGTAAGAAAACAACCTGTGTAAAAGGGTCCACAAGAGCAGACCACAGTGTCTACTAGTACCATGCATGCAAAGGATCCTAAACTAACTGCTATCACCTACACCAAGATGCATCACACGGTCAACGAAATAATCAAACAGTTCAAAAGCACAACTGAGAATGAAAGGTACCATTCTTTCAACTGTAGTAGTAGTCCAACATGTGCGGAGATACTAGCTGAGTTTTTCACTCCCAAGCCACTCAATGGGATGCCGTCAACTGTCGGATGGCCCCTTTCGGATGATTGCCTAGAAAACTATGAGCCTGGCAAGTACATGCTGACCTTGGGCCAGCTCGTACAGGAGCCATGGAAATAAGGAGGTTCCATCGCTGGTGCAGGGTAGCGGCGAAAGCAAGCCTTCTCTCCTTCGTTGTAAAAGTTCCGGCAGAAGCGTTTAAGTTGGCCAAGGATGCCCAAATCGTTGTAGATTTCCACAACATACATAGGCTGCTACTCCCTCCGTCCCATTGAGTTTGTCGTTGGAAAACCGTGCCCCCCTCACAATCCCGCTTCCCGAGCGACAATCTTAACGGGACGGAGGAAGTACGGCGCAAGGACCTCGGCATTGCTAAGTCACCTTATATTATTTGCTCTGTAAGTAAATTACGAGTTGCACTCCATTGCATCGCTATAGGTATTTTAGGAAGAAGCTGCTACCATGATTTGTCCTTGTAGAATGCAGTACCACATCTGCAAGGGATTGAATAAAAACCTTATTTCCCTCTCTCCGTTGCACATTTAACCAGAGATGCTTCACGGGTTTCGAGATGCCAGACGAGCTGAGGTTGTATGATGCCATCCATACCTTCTCTTCCTCGAGGAAGCGCTGCTGGAAGAAGTACGGGAATGGCTCTAGAGTGCACATAAGATATAGAAAAACTGTTGAAGAGCGAAAAGATATAGAAACCGATTTTTATGCAAATGACTCTCTAAATGACAATTTAGAGAGTAAGTTTTAGAAAGACTTTTAGAGATGCTCTAAGTCAGAAACTTCAAACCCACATGGACAACTTTTACCATAATGACCTTAGCCAGAGATCGGGTAACAAAACAAGACTAAATGGCAAGAGCTAGAACTAAAATTTGGATTCCCTTCCTAGCATTTTATGGAATATTTCCTTCATTTGTCTTGCATTTTATTTTGTTCCATTTTAAGAAAGTTTGACTATGTTTGTACAAAATATTAGCAACATTTGTATGCCTAAATAAGTTTATTATGAAAATTGATTCAGCAATCTATCTAATGATACTAATTAGTAAATATTAATTTTTTTGTATATATTTGGTCAAAGTTGAGTATATTTGATTTCTCGGAAATGAGAGCGATAGTTAAAAAGGGACCGAGGGGGTATTTGATTATATTGTTTATTTCCTTATCTGCCTTTTGCTTCTGTGTTTGCAATCTGTTCCTCACCGAGACCCTGCAAGACCCTTTCCAACAATTATGTGATGTTTCCTTCTTATGTTTTGCCTTTTTTATTTCCTTCCTTGTATGCACTCAATTGTTTTTCTCCACCTTTACTTTCCATGTTCACAATTCCCTACTCATCGAGATCTGCACACCACCCCTCGTCAATTATGTGATATATATAATATGAAAAAGACAATTTGCTCATTCTCTAAGAAGAGGCGAAGCAATTATTCTGTCTGAAAGTGCTCCTCATCACTTTTGCTGACTCAAAATGGTTGAAAGTCAAGTCCCTTATGATCCATATCAATTCAAGTACAGAAAAATGGAGCACCTAGCCAATACTTTTGGATGCAAAGCTGGATCACTATCATTCTGTTATGGCAAGTGGAGCCGGCCCAGGGCCCACATGGTACTGTAGCGCGTGAACAGTGAGATTGATTTGCTTGGTTAGGAAAGAGATAAGATAGATTGATTCAGTTAGGATATTACTTAGGGGTCAAGAAAGTTGTCTCTATAAAAGAAACCATCATATATCAGTTAGAGTCAAGTAAGAAGAAATCCTAAGATAGTCCCTAAAGAAGGGAGGCTATCCGGGGTCTCTCTGCTAATCCATCTATCTGTAGTCTTTCCATATCACATTCATATATCTTGGCCTGTCGATGTGTACAACCAAGCCTATGGTGGAAGACTTCTCCCCTATCGTGGACTCACAGCATGCCCTTCTTTACGCTACACGGGAGGCTAGAAATGCTAAACTCTGTCCTCACTCCAACAACTACGTATGCTCTTTGCACCTTCAAAATTCCCATCGGCGTCATTAACAACATTGATAGATCACGCAACATCATGGGTGTGCTGCTTGTTTCACCTCTAATCACAATCACATATTGTTTACAACCTGGCAGCAACATGCATTTTGTCAGAGCGTGCTGCGTATCTGTCCCAATTCGATATACACATGAGTATGCACCACACTAGGCTCATCAGGTCCACCGAAATTCACAACCAACCAAGGCGTTAGGTCTAACCCAATAAAAAAAGACTAATCCATATATATATATATAGTGCTCCCTATTAGATGAAGAACTAAACCTAGCTGACACCTTTTACTCCATACCTAACAAGCGAGAATATTTGTCTTTTTTTGTGCGAATGGAATTGGCCCTACATCTCTATCTCCAAGATACATATATTGGATCTATATTCGTATATATAGGATATATGGTATAAAGTGGCGTCTCAAACATAAGTTTTTCCTCTCAAGTCCAGACTGCACGCGCTGAAGATTTGAAGAAAGAAGTGAATTTTGGTGGCAGTGAAATATTCCCCTTTTTTTAAGAATCGGGCAGACAATTTTTTTTATATTTAAAAGAAGAACCTAGATGGGATAAAACAACATAACAACTAGCCAACAATAACCCAAAAGGATACTATATATACAACAACGACGACACAGTGAAATTAATATTCTTGTCCTCCACTCCAGTCACATATAATCCGATATTTTGATCCTGCTAGTAGGTGACTGTGAAGAGGCCAGAACTCTCGCTTCAATCAGTTACGTCGTAAATAAAACACATATATATATTAGACAAAGCAGACCAGTTTTACCATATATTAATCACCCAGGAGCAATCATTACAGAGAGACGACGCATGCATATAGAGATGTATGCATAGTCTTCTGGAACGATGATCGGACCAGACCAACATGTACACACACCACATGCATGATGAGCACAAGACTGACGCCAAGCAGAGAGGTACAAGGGCAGACGCACATATGCATGCTGGCGAGCCAGACAGCTCGTCCTTATTGTTCAACCAACCACACAGGACACAGAGCAGATGTGTACGTAGCTAGTACCGTACGTCGCCGGCACAAGATAAAGCAGCATGCATATCATCCATATATCTACCCCATGGTACGGTGGTCGTCGATGTGATCAGCAGTTGCAGGGGTTGCACTTGCAGCTGTCACCGCAGCTGCAGCCGTGGGCGGTCTCGCCGGACTCCACCGCCATCTCGAACCCGGCCGCCGCCGCCTTCTCGGGGGCGACGCCCAGGACGACGGTGGCCTGCGCGGCGGTGCTCTTCTCCTCCAGGTCGGGGTACTTCTTGCTGCCCAGGTCAACGGACGACGGACACAAAAAAAAAAATGATTATATATATTGTTGTTAACCCGCCGGTGACCCGAACTAGCAAACAAGAAGCTTATTGTTTTCCGCCGATCCATATGTTTTCCAAATTATTATTGTTAACAGATAGTAGAAACGAACAGCAAAATGAACTCCAATTTTTGTTTTATTTTTTTGCAAGAAAAAAAGGAACTAATTAAACAAGAAGGTTGAAGCAAGATCGAGTGATCACTTACCCGCACGTGCAGCTTGAGCCGCAGCTGCAGCTTGAGCCGCAGCTGCAAGACATCCTGCTTGTCTTGTGGTGCAAAAAGAAGCTTGGCTTCAAGAATGAATATCTAGCAAAGGGCAAGAAACAAGTGTTTGCTTGGTTGAGAGCATAATGAACCCCAACACCTCTTTTTATAGCAGCGGATCCATGGACGACGGACGATTGTATGTATTCAGCCAAGCCAACATAGGCACGCAACGCGTCATGTCACCACGCCATTGGCGCTCTCTCTCTCCACAACTAGTCCAGTAATGGCCACTTGTCTCCAGAATATTATATATATATATATATATATATATATATATATATATATATATATAGAGAGAGAGAGAGAGAGAGAGAGAGAGAGAGAGAGAGAGAGACTTGATAATTCAATCAAACTTTTAGTTTTCAATTTGTCTAACACTCCCTCCGTCGTCCTAAAATACAAAAGAATTAAGTTTGTCCTAACTCAAACTATATATCCTAAGTTTAATGAAGTTTATATAGAGAGAAGAATATATTAACATCTACCACATAAATAAGGTAAATTACAAAACTACATTTTGTAATGTATCTAATGGTACTATTTTGATGTTGCAAAATTGTTTGCTTCTCAATAAAATTGATCAAACTTACAGGAGGGGCAATAGATGCTACCGAACCAAAATTGATTGTGGAACTGCTGGACTTGATGTGAGAAAAATATGACATTAAGAACTGGGCAGAAAGTAAACACAACTAATAATCAGAGAAAAATTAATTCAATTTCTTTTATGATCTACTTGCTTTTCGTTCTAAATTATAAGTCGTTCTGGCTCTTCTAGATACATAGCTCCCGCTAAGTGCCTTGATGTACACTACGTTTAGACACGTAGCAAAATCCAGAACGATTTATAATTTGAAACGGCGTGAGTACCATTTCTCTCTACTAGTATCAATTATTGAAGCATACCTATAGAGTAAAAACTTTCTCGCATCTACAATGAAAAAGTTCGATCACTTTGGCTGACGAATTCCCTGAATCGCATGCCTTGTGTCTATACGACTCTACGTCTCTATCTTTCAGCTTGAAAGCTACCGTATTCAAAATATGCAAGCCGTCGGTTTCGTCTCAGCACAGCCACAATAAGCTATATGCGCCGTGCTTCACTTGTCTCCCTGATAGATGATGGATGGAGGCCATTGATCACCATCTTTTAGGAAGCATCGATGCATAAGAGGCCACTATTTTACGCTTTTCCTTGCCGTCAAGAAATTGGCCTCCTTTGTTCCTTCTCAAAATTTCTTCTGTGGGCCCCGCACCAATACACAAGCATGGATTCTATCAATATTCCACGCTTAGCTTGCTAAAACAAGTTACTACACAATAGTATGTACTAATAATGGCTACAAATATCTCCACTTTATTATTACAAGAAAACATTATATTTAGAAACAAGTACTTCACTATTTTTTATTTTCGTGTATACATACGTTGTCCATGCAGCTAACATACTCCCTTTATTCTAAATTGTATGTTCTTTTAGTTTTTTTAATTAAAAAAAGCTAAGAAGACGTACAATTTGGAACGAAGTGTGTACATTGCAAACATGTCGATCCGTGTCGTCTCTTTTGAAAGAGAGAGCAATAATGGAACATCGTTGTATCCAGCACGGCAGTAATAATAATCTAGCTAGGCGGAGATTTCTATTTCGATGACAAAGCATAAAAAAAAACGTTATCATATCATGTTAACATCCTCGCAAAAAAAGCATGTTAACAATGCTATGTCACATCATCCTTGTTACTTTATTGTTCACGAAACCTAATAAATTAGGATGTTCTTTTTTAGAGCATGTAGATTAATAGGTAGACTAACTTTTAGTTCATATATATATCCAGAGAACACATGATTAAACTTTAATCACGTAACTTTTAAGGGACTTTTAATGTTCAGGCAACTAATGGACTAACTATGACTAGATGCACCAAACATGCCCTTAGATATGTCTATGACTATGAGCTCGGAAATCAGACCACACTAGATTTTAACTACTCCCTCAGTCTCAAAATGAGTAAACTCCTAGAGTTGCCCTAAGTTAAACTATTTTAAATTTGATCAAATTTGGATAGAAAAATACCAACATTTATGACACCAAATAAATACACTACGAAATACTATCTTTGTCTCTGAATAAATCGATTTCTAGAGTTATATTAAGTCAAAAAATTATATGTTTGACTAATTATAGAAAAGAATATAATTATTTCTGAGACCAAATAAGTATATTATAAAAGTATATTTTATGGTGTATCTAATGATATAAATTCATTGTCATAAGTCTTGTCGCTCTTTTTTCTATAAATTTGGTTAAATTTAGAATATATAGTTCGACTTTGGTCAACTTTATAAGTTAATTTATTTGAGGATAGACGAAGTAATTCTTTAGTATTATTGTCCTTATCATCGTAGAATTCTGGGCATCGTTGATGGTTCATTAAACATTATTAAACACGTAGTGCGGGCCTGGCAGGTAGCTTGTCATGCCGTCAGCATGCATTTGGCAGTTAAAAATGTTATCTGCTCCGCGTCCGGTACCGATGCCATCAGCATGCATCTTGGAAAAGTCCACAAATATTACTGTGTTATGCGAATGCTCCAAGTTTGCAGGATTGGTTGTGTCTACGACCTCAACCCGGCGTGCTAATCTTCAGAGAAACAACAAAAGCTAAATGCAGGGCCATTAAATTCCAACGCTTTTGAAAGGTCATTCGCTTGTCCATTTGTATAACTTTCTACACTACTGAAATGAACTATAAACATAGTTATTCATAGGAAAAGGCAAACTGTTAGCGACATCAATTGTATTGAACTTGCTTTTGACGACGACGATGATGTGGGAAGAAATAAATCCGCTTTCATGAGTGTAGCAGGTTGGGGTTTTTTTGCAGAAACATAGTTTCTACCCACCGTTAATTGGAGAAATGTCTAATATTTGAACCGTAACCAGGCCAAGTAACTAGTGACCTGGCTAAGGTTTGTTTTTGCAGAAGTTTAAAAAGATAGCAGCTTTAGTTTGCGGACTTGCAATGTGTTTTTTTTAAATAAAACAACAGAATTACATTCAAAAAATAAAACAAAACAGAAAACGCCAACTGTGGGGCTCGAACTCACGACCACAAGGTTAAGACTTTAGAGCCTTGCGCTCTACCAACTGAGCTGGAAATCTCATTTATTATATTTATATAAATATAATAAAAAATCATAAACTAAATGGGTCACATACTTTTTCTTCTTTTCTCAAGTGCTACTGCAGTTATGCGCTTCATTTCCTGCACAAGGCTAGTATGTGAACAGGTGGTAGCAAAATAGGTACCTTAAACCTAATTACATGATAACTAAATAGGCGATATGTACAAATTTCTTCAGCCGCACAAGTACGTTACTAGGCATAATCCTCTACCCATCGGGCAGAGCTGGTGCGGGGTTATGCACACTTTTTTTTTGAAATACGTGTGCACTTATTAATTCAACCCAAATATAGCCCCAAACACACTCGTGGCCAACCCAGCTTCGAAATATACATAGATTCAACAATAGACATATATGACTAATAAATAGTGATTGGCAAAGTTTTATTGCTATATTATTATTGCCAATTCCCGTTTACAAATATTTGTCAATATATACTTTTATGCGTATGATATATATATTCATGACTTTTTTTTTGGGGTATATGTAGCGGGTATGTATTTGTGTGCAGTTTATTTTTACTAGCACGGGGTAAATGACAAATGTAAATAGTTTCCCCGTGGCCAGCTACCTACGTGGTACTCCTCTGTCTCTCAAAATAATTGTCGTTCTCGCTTCTCGAGAAATAATTTGACTAATTTTATATTAAAAAATATAAATATTTATGATACATAATTAATATCATTAGATAGATCGTTGAATTTATTTTCATAATAAATTTATCTGGAGATACAAATGTTGTATGTATTTTTTATAAATCTAGTGAAACTTACTGCATAAAAACTAAAAACGACAGTATTTAGGGACTGAATGACAGCGGCTGTGGATTGTGTGGGCCGGCGAGTCATGGGGCCGCGTGTTGAGACGTAATTTCCTTTCTCCATGCAGAGGCCCCTGCGGTAGTGCTTGACTGTGCTACGTACGAGTAGGAATACGAATACGAATACGATGTGTTGGCAACAAAAGTTTATTCGGTTGTGCATACAGACAAAGAGGACCCAATCCAGGTGAAATACGGCGGAGGAGCATGTTATTATTATGTTAATTACAACCACAGAAATATCAATGGCCCAAATTGAAGATGAATAAGCCTGTCTGCTAGTGATTCTTTTTATTGCCTTTTCAGAGTCTACGGACTCTGCATGTAGAATCTGCAAAAATGTTGTTGGATTCTGCACATAGAATCAGCAAGATGAATTTTTTTGCACTTCATTTCATTTACGTGCAAGCCATGCCCTTCTTAGAGCTGCTTATGCTCCAGAAGCTCAGCCTGAGAGCTCTGGCGTCTGGCCTCTGAGAAAGTATAGTACGACATGAGGTTCAGCTAGCACCTCAACACTGACGAACTCTACTTCTGTTGATCAACAACTGTTGTCCAAGGACCCGAACCTGGAGAGGCTAGTCAATCTTTCTTCCCAAATTGCAACAGCTTTTTGGAGAGTATGCCTGCACTGCACCCCAGAGGCCCAACTGGTGGACCATGGCATGGAGACAAATCCTGGAAGGAATACATGCATGTAGATGCAGGGTATAAATCCAAGTGAAATTTTTGCATTTTTGTCCCTTTTGAAAACATTTTTTACAAAAAGACCTATGCCAAAACGTTTGCTGAAAATAGACCATTTTTTAGGCGTCTTAGAACATGACGCCAAGGTATGAGGGTCGGCGTCGACTGACACGACGCCGAGGTCTTGCCACATCACGGACGACCCCGGTCGACGGCGGCACGGTGGCGCATGGGGTCCGACACGTCGGCGTTGTGTCAGCCAACGCCACAGGCCCAACCTCGGCGCGGTGGGACTAC